GTATCCTATGTTTTCATTTAGTTTGGATCTTAAGCGTGATTACATCAATATTCAGCAAATAATACAAGTAGCTATAGAAGATTAAAACCTAAATGAATGTGACTTACTTTTTGTGATAGCATTTGAGATTATTCTGTTTAGCGTTTCAAAGTGTTTTTAAATGTTCTTTCAGAAACTATTCACGTTCCATTATCAAAAAGGTTAAGATTCATTGGTCCTGGGGCCTATAATTTGAAAAAACTTCAAGCACAGACTGGTAAGACATTCTTGCTTCCTGTGATAATTTATCCTCATGTGTTATTAGCTTCTCTTCTCTATATGAAAATTACTAGTGTGGTGTTTTAATTAGTGGGTCTTGGTAGCACAGGTATTACTAGCACAGCTATTGCTGAATCTTAATGCTATCTTTATGCCCTTTCAGAAACTGTAAGTAGCTAAACTTCCCAAATTGTTCTGTAGACTACCTCCATAAAACTGGCATTTGTACTTCAGCAGCAACAACACCCCCAGTAAGTAGCTAGGAAGAACTATTAAGAGAAAAGGGTACTTACTCTTTAATTTGTGCTTTATGCTGCAGACTGCAAAACAGTATTTGCCTTTGTTTTCAGACTTGTATGTTTAGCTGTTCCAATCTTAGTACAAAGAGAGTCTGTCTTGATAAGAGATGCGTGTTTTGAAGAGTTAAGTGAAGCTTATTTCAGCCACGCTTGGTTGCGTAGATTCTCTCTGCAAAAGCGCTTGCAGGTTGTCTTGCAGCAGGAACTCCCAGAAGTTTGGTGCACATGTAATGGGTATTTTTCAGGGCTTATAGAAGAGTCAGTTAAAGGTTCATCTAGGGATGGTATTGCAGGTAGTGTCGAACAAAAAGATGTGATGTCAAGCAAGTCAGATCATGAATATACTGAAGTGTAGATTAAATCTATACAGCTTCTCTTCTTATAAACTAAAGCTTTTTCGCTGTGGTTAAGAGGGGGACATGGAGCTGTTTCCTACAGTCTCATCGACTGTTTTCCTAGGATTCTGTGAAGAGCTCGTGCACACTGTTACTGTGCTGGCATGTTAGAAATCCAACTCACTATCATTGTAAGAGTGACCTGTACTGGGGCTTAAACTGGTAGCGAGTAGCATGACAGAAGTTTCCTGACCTTGTTATATTTCTTGGCATAAACTAATTTTATTTATTACGCAGAAGTTTGTCTTGCTTGGCCTTCAGTGCCAAATTCAAAGTTAATACTTTTTTCACTACCATTTCCTAAATGGGGCAACTGATGCTTTCGTTGAGATAAATGCAGATTGACAGGCCACTTAAAGTTAGGCCTATAGCTTGGCATTGTGGTTGCCCTCAGAAGCGAATGAATGGAATTTGCCAAGTGTTGAGTATTTCTGAGAGGCTATGCTATTAAAAACCTTTGTTCAAGTGACTCAAAGTAGAGAAACGAGACATAACCCACCCTTAACCATCTCTCCAACATGATGAAGGTAATACTTGACCAATAGTCAGCCATGGTAGCAGAGATGAGTTTCTGCTGTGATATTACTAAATACATTGGATTTCTTTTATGAGCACTTCTCTTTAAATTCAAGTTCTTTATTGCTTAATAGAGTAAAACTTGTTCACTACTTCCAGAAGGCTAACATTTAAAAAAGGTTGATGTCTATAGTGTATCGAGTAGATGTTCTGCTTCAGCTACTTTGGACTTGAAATACTTTTAATGCTCTGGCTAGATTGATTTGTGAGTCTCAGGGGACTGGGGTGGAGAAAAGGAGGAAAAAAATCATACTTCCCTTTGGTTGCAAGCCTGTGCAGTCCTTTGGCCAGAAAACAAGTCTAGAGGTGCAAAGAATTTTACCATGAAATCTTACTGCATTCTGGCTCTGAAACACTTGATTTTCCATCCGCTATTAATGAAAGCTATCCTTTTATTAAAAATCTTGTAGGAAGTTCATTTATAGAAACTAAGATTTATTCATAAAACCAAAATTATTTCAAGATTTTTTTCCTGTCATAAAAGAATTATAATAATTTTGCAAAGGTGAAAAATCCTATATGGAACTCAAGTTTGTCCAGGTATTTGGCAAGCATACCTGTTACATGGTTTCCATTCAGTTGTGTGTAAAGCTGTCCGATGCCTGATCTGAAGAAGAATATTTGAAATTATTAAGGCTCTTGATATCTTAGTGGGTCTGTGCAAAATAATTTTGCTCCCTATGGAAATTTTTACTGAAGGTAAATTTTCTGCTTGCTGAGACAGTAGCAATGTTCACCTAAATCTTCTCATTAAATTCTATTTCCAAGGCGTAACTGTAAGTCAGCTGGATGAAGAAACGTATTCTGTGTTTGCCCCCACACCTAGTGCTATGCACGAAGCAAGAGAATTTATCAGTGAAATCTGCAAAGATGATGTAAGGACCGACTTTTGTTGTTTGCTTTTTCAGTTTGCATTTTGTGAATTTGTGTCTTACTGTTTTCTTTTTTTTCCCCCCCCTGCAGCAGGAAGTTAATCTGGAATTTGGTGCAGTTTATACAGCCACGATAACTGAAATAAGGTATGAAAAGTGCTCTGGACTTGAATTAGAAATTACTTTTACATAGCTGTATTCCTGATAACTAAATATGATGTAAAAAAAAAAAATTTTTAAAGGATGCCAAATTTAATACTGGTGACATTGGGACCTGCATCATTCCTGATATTTTCTGTGGAAAATGACTGTTTCTTAATAAGGCTGTTTATTTTTGCTGCTTGTTTAGTTATCAGAATGTCTTTATAAATTGTAAACCTTACGGCCTTTTTTCATCTTTGTGTCGGGGGAGAGATGGTAGGAATTTGCTTTTTTGCAAGACAAAGATTGGATTGAAACTACATGCACTTTTGGGATGTACTTACTACTGAAATACACAATCCTTAAATAAGTAATTACCATTCACTTTCAATTAAGGAAAAATGACTGGACGTGTTATGGTTGATATAAGATTTTTTAAAAAGGGAAGAGTAAAATCTTGTTTATGAAAAGTTTACTAAAGCTTGCTTTGAGGTCAATATGCAGAGTAAAACACGTGCAGGCTTCTATGTGAGTATTTTGAAATAACCATGCTGTTTTCTGTTGCAGAGATTCTGGAGTGATGGTAAAATTGTATCCAAACATGACACCAGTGTTACTTCATAATTCACAACTTGATCAAAGAAAGGTAATACGTGCTTAAACAAGGATTAACTAGACACTTAGATTTGTTTTAATCGATTCTCACTAAACATAGTCTGCATTAGCTGTAACACACATCCTGTTGTTCTGGAGTCCATTTTCCCATTAAAAGCTGCATTAGATTAGCAGCACCTCGTTGTTTAACCTCTGCTTGCCCTGTCCTTACAGCTGCAAACAAACTGTATGCCTGCTACAATCCTACTGTTTATGCTTTTATGCACATCACTGAGTTCTTTAGATGTGCCATACCCTTTTATGTGTTACATTTAGAAACCTGTGGTTCGTAAGGCAGTGTTGAGCCACTATGATTGCCTGAAGTGTTGCATGAGGAATTCCTAAAGGAAGGAACTTTAGTTACAAACCTTACAAAATTAATCACACTGAAATAACTTTTTTCTGACAAACACTGTGTTCTAGATTAAACATCCTAGTGCCCTGGGATTAGAAGTTGGACAAGAAATTCAGGTAACTTTTTTTAACTTTAAAACACTAGCAAACTGCAGTTCATACTTGAGAATTTGAGTGAACTCTTGTGTTTATGAAGAAAAATATTTTGCTGTATCAGATTCTCTTTCTGTGCTGGTTAAAGGCCTGATCATTTCAGATTAGATTTTAGTGTGTAAAATCTACCTAGTGTCTCTTGCTATCTAGGCACCACATTAATTGGACAGAGCAATATAGGCTAAACAGTGCCTATTGTTTATGGCTTCTCTAGCATCAAACTGGGGGGGGAAAAAAAAAACTTTTAAGGAAAATGCTATTTCCAGCTCTTTAAGTTGGTCAGTCTTAAAGTTCTTTGTTTTCTCAACAGGTTAAATACTTTGGACGTGATCCGACTGATGGTAGAATGAGGCTTTCACGTAAAATTCTACAGTCACCAGCCACAACTGTGCTTAAAACGCTAACGGACAAGAACAGTATTGTCCTGGGAGGTACCGTTTCACAGTCGTCTACTTCATCCCAGTGACAGGTAGGGCCATAGGAACAATTTAGGATGACTCAGTACTGCACTTCCTACAACTATTGTAAAGAATTGTATCAATCTAGGGTTTTTTTTGTATCGTACAGTTGCCCTTCAGTGGTGTGCAAATACTGCTTGCCAGTTATGTTGCAGCATGTCATAAGTTAGCAACTGCCCTTTTGTGTGCCGCAATTGTAAAGAGATTGGCATTGTAAAATTGGTTCAAATGCCTTGACAGTTTCAGGCTTCTTAGGCAGCCTACTTTCTCCAAATCAAACTTAATAGTTGTTAATCTACAACATCTATGTAAGTATTCCCTCTTCTCTACCTTGCCACCATTTTTTGTAAGGAAATAAAAAAAAAAAAAAAACAGGGTAGGGGAAGGGAAGAAAAAATAAGCTGCTTTCTTGAAAGTTTTGAGTCAATTAGTGGAGACTTCTCAGTCAATCTCAATCAATTAATGGAATGCCTACAGCTCTTTGCTAGAACTAGTTTCCCAGCGTGTATTTGACTGTCAATGGACTCACACCTAAAATTTTCCAAAACTGCTGTGTATGTTTTTTTCTTTAGGAAGCTACTAGAACAGGAAGGAGTCTGATTGTAAAATCAAGAGCAGTTACTCAATGAGGTCTTGGCAAATGGAAATGCAGTGCACCAATGATAACTTAAGGCAATCTGTGCAAATCTTCTAGGAATGATTCATAACACTAGAAGAAATTAAAATTCACTGAAGAGATGTCTTTTTTTATTTTAAGAAATCTTTTTTAATTTTATTCCTTGATACAATTAGTTGGTTATAAAGTCTTTTTTATCTCTTTCAGGAAAAAAGGCGTGATCGTTTGTGGAAATACAAGTGACCTTTGCTAGAATCTGTAGATGTCTTCACAAGAACCTGCAGGTGGATGGTAGTGAATCATATTTTTAAAATAGACACTATTTATGCTTAAAGGTGATGTAGAACTTCAAAGTCTTCACATTTATTAAAAACTCTTTTAAAACCCAAACAGAAACAACCAATGCTCTTATCTTGTGTAGCAGGGGTGAGATGAGAATCTAAGAACATGGAATTTCATGGACTGAAGAGCAGATGACATTTCAGTGCTTAAGATTCTTCTTGCTGTCATATCAAAATAAAAAATGTAAAGATGAGAAGCAAGTATTTAACAGTTATGTCCTGGGAGAAGGAATTATCCTGTATACTTGCTTGAGAGGCACACTTGGCCAAAGTTTTACTGGCTCTTCACTGTACAAGATGGAAATGTTGAGCAACATACAAAGACTTAGAGGTATCACCTTTAACATGATTGACGCTGTTTCAGATAAATACATCAATAACTATCATAGGGGTCAGACTTGCTAAAATATCTGAGCAGAAGGGGGACAAAACAAAGAACCTGGCTGAAACATCATGGTTTATTATCTGGGTTTGTTAACACTGAATTTTAAAATCATAGAATCATGACTGACTCATATATAATTAAAACATTAAGATTATAATAATTGTTTTGGAATAAACAATTGATGCGATAAATCTTCCCCCCTAAAACACCCTCATTAAGAGTGTCAGGATTCCTCTATCGATTGTGTTCCATCAGTGGGTTCACTGGTCTCTTTTAGACTTCAAAACATTTCCCAGGGGCTCACGAGAACAACTTGTTTTTCTACTGTGAGGTACAGACTTTGAAAATCAAAGAGGTGTCCCATCTGATGTCCACCAATTTGTATGTAGACCTAATAAGAAAATCAACTTCCCACCTGATGGCAGGTGGGCTCTGAACCTCTTGAAGGAAAAAACAAAGCACTGGGGAGAGGAGAAATGTGAATGTACAGTAGAAATTGCTTTTTTAATTATTATTCTAAGTTAAAAATATTAAAGAAGGAAGAAATGACTGGCCCGCTTCCTTGTACTTGTCTGTCTGTCTTTCATCATGTAAGACTGAAGAAGTTTTCCTTAGCAATCGTCTCCTCTTTGAGGACTGTATTCTGTTACTACTTTAGTAAGAATTCTGATGTCCTTGCTTACTATGACTTAATTGACTGATACCTGGTTTGTTACGTATCCTGGATAGCATTAATGAAATTACATAGGCAAATGTTGAAGTCCTTAAACAGAAGCTGAAATGTTTCCATTTCTCATCACTGTTCTCAGAAATTGACCTCCCTCATCTCAGTGGTTTTCCAAGGTTTAGTTGCTTTTATTGTAGAATAATTTCTGTAAGGCTCCTTTTTAGTAGAACAGATGGATGCTTGAGTTACTAAAATGCTATATAAAATACTAACTAGAAGTTTTTTGGGTTTGTTTTTTTGTTTTGTTTGTTGATTGTTTTTAGATAGCACATGTTTGCATTTGAATCTGTGAAAATTGATGATTTAGGAGCCAAAAGAATCCCATTCTTTCCTGTAAGGGTATTTTCTTGCCTGTAGTAACAGGAGTGTTAATGATTTGTGTTGATAGGTGGTGGTCTCAGTAAATCAACTGTTGGGAGTGCTGGGGTTTTTCTGTTTGTTAGATGATAAAGTCTGAGAAAGACTTTTATGTTCCTGTGGCAGAACCTGTACAGTCAGCCTGACTTTCTGCACTTGTAACAAGTTTTAGGCCCTATGGGAAGGGGTGGGAAAAGTCTGCTTGGGAACCGTCTGGGAGGAGCACAAACCAGCTGCTCTCACCTGAGGAGAGAAGCTTGATGGGAGCCAAGAGCTGAGTAAGTGTGCGCTGGTCTGAACCTTCCTGGAGGGAAGGCAGGCTGGCTTCAGACATCCCGGGTTCACCCAAGAGCCATCAGTAGCAGCAGGTTGGACCGTGGCAGGAGATACTTGACTCTCGGGTGGTATCAGCTATGATCAGAGAGCAGGTAGGTTAATGGTGCTTGAGAGAGCGAGCTCAGCCCTATTGCAGTAGCTGGTTTTTCGTGTTTGAAATAGTAAATTTTTTTGTCTCTACAGCCCTAGATAGTTAGCTTCTGTAATGACCCATCTTAAATGGAGCCATTGAAAGGAATTGCTTTGGAAAGTAAAACTGGGCAGTTGCAGCATTACACCAGGTCAGGAGGGCCAGAAATGCATTTATTTGACAAAGCTGAAATTTTCACACAGGCGCAAAGCGTCAGGAGCTGGGGTATTTTTAAACGCCAGCAATAAATATTACAAGTACTATAATAAAAGCATAAGAGCTGGCCTAATTGTACTTCTGGGATTACATGCCAGAAGGAATGATACAGTCTCTTAATTTCACTCCAAGAAATTTTAAGTGATTTAGGAATGAGTTGTCTGTCTCGCGTCTGAAAACAACAAAAAAAATTAGAGCTCCCTGCTGCTCTGCGTTGTGACACTTGATGACTTGCTCTGTCTGCAGCCTACCCTAACGAAATTCCTTGTTTTGATGAAGAACAGAGAACTCTTCCCTAACAGCTATATAGCTTGCTGCCTTGTGATGAGATGAGCTACTGGCAGGTGCAACGCCACAATGAAAAAGTGCTGCTTTGCTTTCTCTGAATCTTACAATGCAGAGATTCAGATGTATTGCTTTCCTGGTCTTGTATTTACTCTGGTTTTAAATCAGATATGTAAGAGCTGTTGGGGCAAGTCTTGCATATCTTCTTCAGGCAAAGCCCCCTGGAATTGACTTGCTTTTTATTGGTATAGATGACAAGATGATGCTGCGGTTTCTAACACCCCAGGCTGTGGCGTTCTAGATGCTGTTCTGGGCAAAAAGGAGCCCTGCATCTGGGGGAATGCAATCCGGGTGTGTTCTGGAGAGGCGTTTTTTTCCTACAGGGGTCACTGATTTCATACCTGGAGAGGTCACGGATTTATTTTACAGCTTAAGCCGAGAAATAGATTTTCATGCCAGTTCTGGCTTGTGTATCTCCTACTCCTTCTGTAGCCGTTCACCATGATAGATAAGAATTTGCTCCAGAATTTTCTGCTGTGGTGTCTTGCTGTTCTGCATATCTGGGGAAGTACTGCATTTAATCTTGAGTAGGAGTGGTCATACGTAGTTTCATGTACTCAGTTTGAAGAGCTAAAGAGCATGTGTAGAAGCCTTGTGGAGGGGGGAGAGAGTTTGCGAGTGGCAGACGTCCTGAAACAGCAACATGCTGTGGCCATTGGGTTTTGTGTTTTCTTTTTGTGTGGTTTGGGTTTTGGTTTTGGGTTGGGTGGGGTTTTTTGTTTGTTTGGTTGGGGTTTTTTTTTACTGAGCTTTCACTGAGGCAGAAACATGCCTGATGTGTAAAACCTGATCCCCTCAAGATCAGGCCATGTAATGCGGAAACAGCCACCGACATGTAGCAGGGAAGGCTTGCGTGGAACCCAAGTGCAAACTGCTTAATGTGACTCTCAAACCCTGGTTGGTGAAACCACTAATGTGACGTGGCCTTTTGTACAGTTACTGACTTACCCATAATGGTATGATGCACATGTCCTGGAGTACGTTCCTATACTGTGTAGAGCTAAAGATAAGTGTGTGTGATGGTTCTCAGAGGTGTATCTTACAGCTGCCATCTTCTGCAAAGGAAACTCATGATTGTGTGTCTTCAACATCCCCTGTTAAAGATGAAAATACGGGCTTCAACCCTAGTTCCACAGAACCCCATTAAGGGTGCTTCTCTTCGCCTTCCTTAGGAGGTGGGTTGTTCCACAGATGTTAAATAAGCAGGCTGACCGCTCTGCAGATGCATGAGGCTGCCTCTTGAGGAATGTGAAAGACTTCCCAGCTGCTCAGCTGCACCAAGCATTGGTGGCTGTCACATACTCAGTGTGCTGAATGGCAATAAGTCCTAAGGAGGTCTGTTACAACGATTGTCAGAACAAAAGCTGAGGCTTCCATGTCACATAGCTGTAAATTTCCTGAATCTGCCTGGAGAATGTTTTCCTATGGTATGGAAAAGTTGCATGTAGTTACTTATAGTGGTGTATTCTGTAGTAAACTTTTTCTTTCCCTTCACCCGGAACAAGGTTGAACTTACACCAGAGAAATGCCAGTCTTGTAAGTAAGAGCTATACCGGTGTAACTGCTTTTGCCACTAGGCAAGAGCTAGAAAAATGTTGCTTTGTCTGGGAGTGAGACACACCCTGGCCTGGGGAGCACTTGCCCTCCCATCTCCCCATGCCTTCCTAGCCTGGAAGATTTTGTTCTGAGACACTTTGAAGCTCCCCTTCCTCCCCAAAGTCCCTGCTGTTTCACACAGCTTGACTTCTTGCATGCTTTTGTGCCCTTTTCTTCTATTCCCACGCAAACACTGAAATGTAATTATTTTTTTACTATTATTCTTAGTACAGAGGAAATGTGTAGCTGGTTTTCAGTATGGAAAATAAAGATTTACAGGCTCCACAATGCCTGGCAAGTGGTCTGTCTGAAATTGTACAGTGTTTGTAAGGACTAATTAAGCATGTTTCTCTCTTTGAGAAGCTTCAGGGGACAGCTTCAACTTGTTTAGCTTTCGAGCCTTCTGTAGAGCTGTATGAAGCAGGGGAGCATGCAACAAAATGGCTATTATGGTATAGGCATTACTGCGTGCCCTGCTGTGGTAAAGGGTTAGAGTGGCTAAAGGAGATGCCGCAGAATAACCTCGCTGCTATTTTGTGATGCCAGGGAGACCTTTTCTTCCAAAACTTTAACTCTAGGCCCTGTGTGTGCTGCAAGCCCTGTTACCACAGCATGGGCTGCTTCCAAAACTTACCCTGGGGTGGGTGTGATCTTGCCCATCACTTTGTGGCATGGCGGTGGCTCTGGGCAGGTACGTGGTCCTTTCCAGCCGTCTGAGGGGGGCGCTTTTTGTCTGTGCTGGCACCAGCTGTTAGGGTAGACTTTAAAAAAAATGGGTTTTTTAAGCTTTTTTTTTTTTTTTTTTTCTTTTTTAAGGGGTGAAATTGTTCGCGCGCCGACCAGAAGCC